AAATGATGCATCCCTTTGTCACATTATGTCAGGTATATCCGGTGATATTTTTTAATCAACTGGTTTCAGGAAAATTTGGGGCTCACTGTCATGTTGATGCACTCTTCACGTGTGTCGTGGGACTCGGCAGACATTACATGGGTGAATAACCGTGGCAACATTTTTTTAAGTAATTAAAATCCGTAAATTTACTTTTTATTATTGCTGTTTTAGAGGCAGTCGTTATTAGAGCCTACCACAATCAAAACTATTCACGAAACAGCAAGGGGCTTTCAGATATTTATTTATCAAATTTCGCACTTTTTTCCCTCAATTCAAGAACCACGCGCGGCAGGGGCGGGCAAAGTGGAGAGTCGCTTAGCGGTTTTGACATGACATATCGGTGATGGCATGTTTGTTTGTATTACCGAGAACTTCTCATACTGGAGTTCGATGCATTATTTAATTTTCTAGTGAAGTTACAACCCTCATAAAGTGCTGTCGCATTCAGCATGAACGAAGTTGCACTCTTTTGAAAGCGTGCCTTTGGTGGATGCTCCAGCATCATACTTCCAAGGGTTCGACTGAAGGGAATGCGTAAGAATGGCGTCCTGCGCTCTGTCCAGCGCGCTGTTTTTAATCAGGCGACGAAAGGCGGAGTTTTAGCTATGAATAACCCAAAACTCGTCACCTTTTCGCGAATTGTTTCAGTTGGGCTAGAGTTTACTCATAGCCCCTTTAAAATTGAAAATTCAACATGGTCAATTACACTGCCAATTAGAAAAGCTAATTAGACAACGTACTTTGACGTTCATTTACTCATGTAATGTCCGCCGAGCCCCACAAATAGTCTGTGAAAACGGCATCGGCCTATCTATCGCGTTTTTAGTGTCGATGTTAAAAATCGCACTATATATATATATATATATATATATATATATATATATATATATCAGTGTGTGGAACCGAAAAAAAAATACGGGTTCGGTTACGGTTCAGGTTCAGCTAAATTTATCTTGTTCCGGTTCATTTCCGCTTCGATTAATTCGATCCGCGAACCGGTTCGCGAACCGGTTCGGGGCGCTGAACCGGTTCGCGAACCGGTTCGGAAATTATAAATGACAAATTGCAACATCAAAATAAATTACAAATAAAACATCTGAAATCAGCACATACGAAACGGGATACATCGTAGTGTAAGGCTCAGGGATTTCTACCAGGAATGGTTTCTTTATGTGCACTCAAAGGTTACCTCAACGGCGTTTACGCATTCGGACTTCATCTAATTGGGTCCGACGCAGTAGCTGTAAAATCCGCGACCTCCTTGCAAACCCACTTACAAGTAGAACTCGCTAACTATCCCGCCACCTCGGCGTGTAAGCAATTGAAAGAACAGTGGGGAGAAAATACAGCTTTCTTTATTTGAACTAGCCTTCGGTAACTCAAAGTAGGCCCTTAACGAAGTTTTCAATAAACAAGATACGGAATATGAAAAACACTTCACCGAACGCAACGCCAGAAGGACGTAATAGGATAAATATTAAAATAGAAGAGTTCGCTGTCTCACAAATATGTTGCTTTTTAGTGCCTATACGAAACCGGATGCATTATTATAAACTCTACAGCCTTTCTTTTCTCATTCCGATGGAAGCAAGCTTCAAGAACTCGCGCGTTCTGGAAACGTGTCATGAAATGAGCACACCGCAGCATTTAGGATTTACGAGATTGTAAAAAAAATGAAATCCCGTGACGCAATTTTTTTTTTTTTGCACAGTCTTCCGATTTTCTTTCTTCCGTGCAAGCCGCGACCAGCGCAATACTGGTTCCTATGTCAAGATTCATGGATGCAGCGTTTATATTCCTAAGACTGAGTGGAGAAGAAAAATATGTAAGCGAGGTGTGTGTCAGTTGACGGCACTTAAAAAACAAATGGCATTGAGAGCACATTCATTGTCAACAGCGCGTGGCCGAACCGTTTTGACATGAGCCGGTAACCGTTATTTTTTTTTCTGGTTCAGTTCCGGTTCGGGTTCATCGCGATAACAACATAACGGTTCGGGTTCGGGTTCAGTTCCGGAAAAAAATACCGGTTCGGTTCCGGTTTTCGGTTCGGTTCGGTTCCGGTTCGACACCCTGATATATATATATATATATACATATATAGATACATACACGTTATTATAATTTGAGTACACCGACTGTCAAGCACTGAAAGCAGACCTTTAGTATACATAAGTGCACTTTCTGTATGCTGATCTTGAACTACTTTTTACCGCGGGCACTACGATTCTACTACATGTACTAGTTTTGTACGGACGAGTATACTTTAAGTCCACCGCCATTTTTACTGGAAATATACTTTGTGTGCACCTAAAGTATACAATCAGTACAAAGACCGCACTGAAAGTATGCTTTTAGTATACTTCAGTACACTTCGAGTGTACTGATTTTGAACGACTTTTCGCCAAGGATAGAATTGATCAATCAATTCGCATGCTTAGAAACACATCTCGTGTTAAAAATCGCTATTTCCTTGCTTTGGCGATTTAAATCAAGTTATAGATATTAAAAATCAAATCTAGTTTTATTAAAATGAAACTGATCTAAAGAAAATAAATATGATTTATTTGATATATTTAATGGTGATTTTATTCTACTCTGGGTTACACTTACATGAGCCTCTGTCATGATAACGCAATTAATGTAAGGTGCGGTCGAGCTGGACAATAATAGCGATAGTAATCTCTAGAGAAGGAGAACGAGCCATACAAAAGACACACAAATATCCGAGCACAAGCTAGGTGACTGGTGCGCGACTGAAAAATACCTCCTGGTCCTGGTATCAAACCATAAACCTGTTTTGTTTTTATTTGTGTTTGCCCTTTGTCCTCCTCGCACCCCTTCTCAAGGTAATAATATCATTATGGTCTTCTAATTTATGAAATGACTCCAGGGCTGCTTCAGTAATATTTTAGATAGATTATGAAGCCGTTTTTTGTGTTTCGAAATTTCTATACTCAGGGAAAGCTTTTGTTGGTATTTGCGAGAAGAGACGGAAAGCGAGTGCACAGTTTCATGCAGCAGTCAACCAGAAAGAGGGCAGGTGTGCCCGTACCTTTGACTCCATTACCAAGACAGTGACCCCAGAGTATAGTTTGAGCCTAAGATGTGACATAAAAGATGATATTCGTGATACTTGTACTTCACAATCATGTGTATTTCTTACATCCGTGCGCAAACTTCCGTATGACTTGTCGATAGCAACCAAACGAGTGCCAAGTTTCGCTAGGCCTACATCTAGCGATGTCTTCAAATGTTTAACCCTTTGATGTCCTCAGTCATCATGTTTCGCTTCTGAACAATCTGGACAAGCAATTTTTGCGTTGTTGTCCCGGGATTCAGTTCAACATGCTCAGACGAAACAAATATTGTTAGTGAGCATTCAGCAGATATAAACTCGCAATAAGCCCGTGAAATTTGCAGCACACAATACAGATGTAATGGCTTTTGAAACAGTCGTAATCAATTTTACTAACCTGTACAAAAAAGAGCAGATTAGCCATCATGAGGGCGACGTAGCTGGAAAGTGCAGTGGCGGTCTTCAGCCTCTGTTGCCCTCTGATATCCTTCGGCTCTGTCGGCAATGTGGTCGAAGTATGTCTGGCTACGTGTAATGATGCGGCGCTAAGTACCGCGTGAACTTGCTGCCAATATGCGGTTGCCTTCAGGAAGGGCAGGTTTACACGTGCACGTGTAAAGAGTCACTTCACAGTCGGTGGTGTGATATAAATAATTTCTTCACGATACGACTTGCGAAAGGGTAGTTAGCGGATAATACAATGTCCAGAAGCGGCACCTGCATCATAACGGAAACAGATGAGGCAACATTGGTGCAACGCAGCTTACAAACCAAGCAGCCTGGCATAGGAGATTACTGCACTTCTCGAATTTTACCCTTCCTTGAATGTGCACTTTTTATAACGAGCGACATCAAAAAAGGGATTGAGTTTAGTGCTCCTCCTTCAACCTACCCCACAGATTAACAGGCGTTTGATATTAATTCGATGGGCTATGGTCGCATCCATCGAAAAGCAGCGGTACTCCCAAAAATATATATTTTTATCAATTACATTGTGATACTCATGAATAATTTATTTTAAATATTGTGAACACCCGTATCATAAAGCATTGCTTCACGTTGGCTTCTTTGCACGGAGTGTAGCAAAATGAGTGAAAGAGACGTGTTGGTTCCTTAAATCTCTACTTTTGCAATATCTCTTTCTTCTTATGTGATCCTTTTTACGTCTTTCACACACCTTCCTATTAAAGATCACTCTCGTTTCAAATGCTTAAGTGGTCTGTCGTTCGTTCTCAATCTTGTAGTTATTCCGGGCACAAAGTACGTACTCTGAAACCGTTAGTTTTATGAAAATATTTTCTCAGATAATTTTTCCGCACAAACTTTTTTCTTCGTAACCGTCGAAACTTGATGTAATTAAGAAATAACTCTGCAGTGAATAGCATATTCTCGCCCGACTTCGAATCTCAAAACTAATATTTTCTGAGTAAGATCGTGCTTTATTGGCACCATTTCTTTTGTCAGACCATAAACCACTAGCTATTTGAGGCACAGTATAACATTGAATTTTCAAAACAATAAGGGAACAAGCCGGTGATACATTGATCAGGCATGGAAGGTATCCATTGAATGCAAGGCTTTTTATGGAGTTCGTCAGCGTTCGTCTCAACAAAGGTACATACAAGAAGTATTTGAACGATCACTAACTCCGTAAACGAATCGGCTCTCTGATGACCTGTCCTGGTGTAATTTTTAATCATTTCTGGTTGCATTTTCACCATCCTTGTAGAATTTAAATATTTATAGCTCAGAAAGCAGCGTATTGCAGATTGTTGCGAGACACAATCTTCGGCTTGAATTAGAGTTTCAACGAGTTTGATGTCTACATAAAGCGTCGTAAGCCCAATTATAATTATATATATTTTTTTCAAACTTTCGACAGGTGATTGGAGTACCGGACGAACAGATGGGTGAAACGATATGGGTTTGGATCAAAGTGAAACCAGATAAAAACTTATCCCCCGAAGACATCAAATCCTTTTGCAAGGGCAAGGAGGTATGTGGGTAGTTAATGCCTGTTGTGAAAGTCCTTCAGCCTTTAATACCAATTTGAACCCCTGAGAACTGGTTGCGTAACTCATCAAACAATTGTATACATACGTCCATATACTCGTCACACAGACAATCGAGTGTAGTCTTTAATTGCAAGAAAACCTAATTTAACTTACATTTGGAGGCTTTCATAACAGAGCGCGTAGTGCCACTCCTCCGACGTTCATGGGCACGCCCAACAATGGTGGCTGGGAAAATATACTTTCTACAGAACCAGCATATCATGACTTATTCTAGACCCCAGATTCTCGGGGTCTGGAACGCTCATGCTTTCTGCCATTATACAATGAAAGAGCGTTAAAATTGTATAATTGCTCAAGGACAACACAATTAAATATTCTATTCCCGTGCCACAAAGAAATACCAAGGCAGTGGAAAAAAGCTATATTGAGTTTTTTGCTTGTTTAGTGTGCATGCAATTCAAACGTGTTATATAATTACAGCTGCCCTGGTACAAGATACCGGAATATGTGCTCTTCGTGGACTCTTTCCCGAGGACTCAGACCGGCAAAGTTCAGAAGCATAAAATGCGCGAGGAGAGCAAACAACTCCTGAACTTGTGAAGAACAAGCCCCCCGGGAAAAACAAAATAAAGAAATGAATATATATATATATATATATATTGTAAAAACCTAATTCGAGTCGCATTTTTTTTTTCAGGTTACCCGTAAGGTCCCAGGTTTTTTAAAAGACTTCAATAAAGACATCCAGCACTTGTTTGACGTTGATTTAGATATAGTGCTTTCAGTACTTTACATAAAAATCTTCGGCCTGTCCACGGATGGGATGACATCTTTGGAATGCCTGCTTGATGTAAGGATTAAAATCTCTGGAAAAGCCACTGAATTTTCTGCGAAAAGCACTAAGCTCCAGTGTGGCTAAGAAACTTTACACACCGTCAGGGGCAACACAAAACATGCATAGTTCACAGCAGGCAATGCACGAGCAAACAAAACGTGTAAAAGTAATTCATACATGACCATAACTAGCCAAAATTAGTCGCAACCGGCGATATTCCAAGAGGGCTCATTGGGAATCCAAACAAATAACATGCAAGACGCAGGCCGACGCCTTTGCTCAGCGCCACAAGGAGCTGGTGAAAAAAGGTACAAGCATCTGGGTTAAGTACGACTGCCGCTGACGGTCGCATGGAGTAGCAGGTGACTATCGGCGGCGAGTGAAAACTCCAGCGTACTTATTTCGCCCGAGATCGTCGAAGTTGAGTCATACTTTGATCGGCACACTTAGTCTGCAGACGATAGTCAGTGGTAGGTCATGCCTAGACCTGCATATCTAGTCCGCATTCATGCTGTCTTGAGGTAAATTAAACGTAGTTAATCGTGCATTGCCTGTAGACGGCCGTCGGCAGGAAGTCGTATTTAGTTGCTCGTAAAATAATCGATTAATACTACAATTTCTCTCAATTAAAAATCATTCAGTTACATTACTTCATTACGTGGGAAGAAAAGTATTGGGATGTTACTTGAAATAGCAACCCTTACTTTTTCAACTAGTTCAAATTTTTAAACTACGTATTTTTTTCTTGGTTTGAACACGGGCCTTTCGTGTTGTTTATAATTTGACTAAATTTATTGGAAGCCCAAAATTACAATATACTCAACTTCTCAAATGCACCACTTTTGGTAAAAAAATCTTCCGGCTTGAGAATTCCTTAAATGTTTAGCTAGAAAGGAACTTACTGAAACTGATGGCATCGTTGGGAAGGAAAGGGCAAAATGGTAACGATTGGAAGTAATTTTAGTACATCCAAAAGAAATCAAATTTCTATTTTGATCACTTACTATTAAATATATTGAAATTTTTGCGAAATAACTCAAAACGTACTAATTGATTACAAGGGATTTGAGTACTTAATTCGAGTGAGTTTTCTGCATTTATGGCCGTATTAAGTTTAGCATGCTCATTCCGTAGGACACACTCGGCTCATGCAGCAAACTTCCGAATGACGAATTGTGTCTCTCCTACTTTGACTGACGATATCACGGTTCGGATAGTAACTAGGGTTTGTATTTTGTTGGTAAATACCGACTAACACCCCAAACTAACCCCCAAATTGGTTTAGTGTATATGTGAGAAAAGGAAAATGCTTTCCAACTGTCCTTGCGCTCGAAAAACCCAAGCTCCATTTTAAGAACTTTTTATTTGTAGCTTAATATAGTGACTTCCAGAATGCTCGTGACTTCAATTTTGGCTTTAATCGGCCATTTTGGCGCCGAAACAGATACAGAGGCGCCACCCCCATCTCCCCAGCGGACGCGCCGCGTCTTACTACCGAAGTTAAAATGCACCTAGGTCAGGACGGGCTACCTGAAAGCAGTGTGCTTTGATGGGCTAGTTGGTTCATGACTAAATGGAACAGCGCGGAACATAGGACAGAAAGAACAGGACAACACGAGCGCTGACTTACAACTGACTATTTAATGAGAAGCGAAGGAAGAAGAAGAAATAAGAGGCTTATTTTCAGTTTATTTCTTCTTCTTCCTTCGCTTCTTATTTCTTCTTCTTCCTTCGCTTCTCATTAAATAGTCAGTTGTAAGTCAGCGCTCGTGTTGTCCTGTTCTTTCTGTCCTATGTTCCGCGCTGTTCCATTTAGTACCCGAAAGCACCGCCGAGGCATGGTTGTATAAAAAAAAATATTAATTGTGCCGCACAACCTTGCAAACTAAAGATTTTAAAAACATCACGCGCCCCCCCCCCCCCCCCCCCCATTTTGTACTAAACTCTAATAAATTTCATACAAAAAGAGTTTTTTCGGTTCGTTTTTATGCAAAAACAGGCTTTCTAAAAGCCCAAGGTAACCACAGTAGAGACAAGTGATGAAGAGTGGCGCTGTTGTCGTATTTAGATCGGTTTCGGTGGACGCCAACGGCCCAGGTTTCAACGGCGAGTTTCCCAACTGATTATTTTAGTAACGTTCGGTACACCTTATTAAAATAGCTAATCTACGTGTTACTGACTAGACACACACCCAAACACACACACAAGAAAAACTAATTGTTTTTTACACTACTACAAAACCTAACTTTTTTTTTTGCCTTTGACACGTACTTTAGCTCGTTAAAATTTCGGCAATCTCTTTGAAGCCAGTGCGCTCTACTTGGAACGGAACATTTGCGGTGCATTATATGGGACACAACGGTGTAATACCCAATTCATACCCTAAAGGTGCCTTTGCCTTACGGCCCTTAGCTGAACGTACCTGTAATCAACGGCGTTCTGAATCACACCATAAAGACACGGAGCTGTTTGAGTTGATGTCGATTGCATTTCTGATAAACCGCGAGAGGAGCACGTGGTAAACCATTATTCCTCGAAAACTCTGTGATGTGCAGTTTTTTATTATTCTCCGTGAAATATCACATTTTAAGCCTAAATAATATTTGTGTTTGTCTTTTAGCCACCTTATTTTTCTACAAGTCTAAGGGCGCACCTGAATAAGTATTGCTTTAAAACCTCCGACCGTCGTGTCCCCACTAGCCAAAAATCACCTGCATTTACGAGTTTCCATTGCGATGTGCACGACCTTTTCCTTTTAGCAGCTCCATTTTTCCGCAAAGTTCTCACTGAAGTAGCTAAATAGCGCCCGACAGCAACAAACCACGTCGGAGTCTCACGGTCGCCCCAGTTACGCCATCGAAAGGGATGGACGACGACGAGCTTTTGGGTATGGTTTGGTGGCTTCAACAGCAGTTATTCCAGTTTAGCTAGATGGAGGAGCGGATCCAAGCAATGGAAGCAGAAGCGGACAAACTCGGAATAGGGCTCACAGTGGTCCATCGCGTTCGGGTTCGTAGCAGACATTGTTTTCCACGTGCCGCCGCTGCTACCTGCTAGATGGAGTATGGGCTCCTCGGTGATGTGTCGTCCTATCAGATTTGCGCTCGAAATCATTTCATAATTCGCTACTTATATATAGTATTCAGGTAAATTGTCAGCTAGAACGAGAGGGACAAACACAGACAGGGAGAAACAGAGACATACACACCGCTGACTATCAACTAAGACTTTATATTTCTTCTTCATCACTGTGTAGAAGAAATATAAAGTCTTAGTTGATAGTCAGCGGTGTGTATGTCTGTGTTTCTCCCTCTCTGTGTTTGTCCCTCTCGTTCTAGCTGACCATTTACCTAAATTATGTACCAACTAGCTCAACTTCAGCCTGTTATATAGTATTCAATTTTTTATAATGCTATAGGGAAGATATATTTCTATATCTGTGGTTTTTATCTTCAGATCATGGGTCCGAGGCTACTCCCTGTAAATGTAAAGGAAGCTTGGCAAGCTCCGTTTAACACAGCACCTCCCTTAGTGAACGGGGCTTTTATGCACCGTGTGATTACGATTTCCAGATCCTTTTTCTACAGGGACCTGTGCCCAAGGTACCGTTGCGCTGCCCTATGAATTCGGTATAAGACGATACACTTTTTTTCAGATTTTAGAGCGCACGTCTAACTCCGACGAAAAGCCCTTCCGCCGAATGTCTTCGGCTCAACAACACGTGAGAGCGCCTGTGGAACAGTGGCATTGGTCAATAACGTTGCGTGTGAGCGTACGGGAGTCCCATTAGCACTGGTTAGAGGGGCGGTGAAACGATTTTTTTACTTTCCTAAATACTACTCAGATTCACTCCCACGCTAACAGCCGAATAAACTTGCCTTACTTTTTCTTTCTAAGAAATGACGGCAAAATATTTTGAAAAAATACCAGCATTGTTCATCCCCTCATCTCGGAGTCAGAACAAACGGCCACGCAGCTTCGTCTCTATCCTATGCCGCAAACGGTAATCAAAGGCACGCGCTGGGGTCGGAAAAGTGGAAAACGCTTGCTCTACCCATTGTTAGAGTTCCGCTATTATCACCACTGCACTGAAAAAGAGGAAGTAGACGGCGTTTGGAAGAATCGGAAGCCTTCCGCACCTTGGAAAAACGATACTTTTTGCTTTTGAGGCCCCTACGCCGAAATATTTGTCTACGAAGGTCAAGCGGCTAGTTCCTGGACCCGAGAAACTTGCCGCTGGACCTTTGATGGAGTTCCTGGACCGGAGGAACTCCACCGTGCAACGTTTAGTTACCTTGGTTTTGCCGAAGCGACAGAACAACGTAGAGGCATTCTGGAGGATCAAGAAACTTGCCTTCATTACCTTCTACTTGCCTTACACACTTATGTCCATCCCTTATCTAAAGAAATTCTTTGACGAACTGAGTGTCTCTTTTTTTGTCGCTCTGTCGACTTGCCACCTTGCCCATGGTATTCCCTTATCACTCGCTTTGACCTCCATGTCTGCCTAATTCACATTGGACAGTTTTCTTCCAAATATACAGACTTAGATTCTACGATTGGTATCCAAATAATTCGGTAACTCCTATGGTTGCCACAGTGATGTTCCCAATTTATTTAGAAGGGCAGTACAAGGGTGATGATACTCATGGTTATGCTGACGAGCCAACCTCAAAAAAAGGATAAATTTCAGCTTAAACTTTCCAGATGTTGAACTCATTCCAAAGTTTCCGAATATCACAGTTAAAGGCATTTGCGAGAAAAG